TCTCCACACTGTCCTCACAACAACCCTGTGAAGTTGGTCAGATACCTAGGATCTAGATCCCATTGAGGCATGAGGGATATTAACTGGCTCAGAGACGCATAGTGCTTTCCTGGAGAGAGACAACCAGTGAGACTCCCAGCATGCTTGAGGCCTCAGTGGGCTCTAGATCCAGGGTCCTAGTTGAACTTTCCAACCATTGTGCTTTGCTGGCTATCATTCTGATACCTGATTACTTTAAAACACGAAGTGCCTAATCCAAGGCACACAAAGGTTCATTTGGGTCTTTTCATCAGAAGCTGACACAGACATATACGAATACAGTACATCTCATGTCTGTGATCCTTCCATATCCATAACTACTGTTCTGAAGGTTAAAAAAAATCCAATAAACAGGATGGTTTCTGCTTATCTCTGAGGCTGCTAAAGGCATGCATTGTGCATCTTTGACTCCAGAGTACCCTGTTTTCCTGAAAATAAGACCTAACCTGAAAATAAACCCTAGTATGATTTTTCAGGATGCTCATAATATAAGCCCTACTCCAAAAATAAGCCCCAGTTAAGTGAAACCCCACCCTCCGCCATTGTGCAGCATTGGGCAGCAATCAGAAGAAGATGACATGACTGTAAAATAAAACATCCCCTGAAAATAAGCCCTAGTGTGTTTTTTAGAGCAAAAAAATAATATAAGACCCTGTCTTATTTTCAAGGAAACATGGTACTGGTGCCTGTCATACAGTATACTTGCTTTCATTAACACCTGTGGACAGAAAAGAAAACAAAGATATTTTCCTATAAAAAGTAAGCCCCTGGTGGAAGTAATGGACCCAGCCTACTTAGAGCTCTGATAATGCTCTTTCCAAGCCCCTCTCATTTACATGCCTTGAATTTAGAAATCCTGCAAAAAGCATTCCTTGTTAATTTCCCTCTTTCTCATCCTGTGGAGGAAAGGCTAGGACATAAAGAAGAAGAGTACAATCCATCGAAGCATTCCAAGCATGTTCTGAAATATTGTATGCCTGGCTTGTCAGCTAATACAGTATATCTACTCCAGTTTCAATAACATTTTACGATGCTACTTAAGCTCGGTATCCATCTTTGGTGCTACATCTCTGTGTCTGCTTGCAGTATATCACTCCCCCAGAGCCAATGAAAATAAGTTCTAAGCTGTATTTCTCTATGTTTCTTTACTGCAGCTGGCTGTCCAGATTCCCTGATTAAAGAGCTGCATCATTTCAGAATTCTGGGCGAGGAGCAGGTGAGTTAACATCTGAAAGGCAGCACCATGGTGTCATGAAAGATAGACGCTAATGAGACAGCCTCCTCCCTCTCCAGGGAAGCACAATGTCTCTCATGAACCTCCCAGTGCCCAAAATTGGGGAGAGGAACACATACAGACACACAGTAGGGGTTTGCGTGTATATATGTGTGCATGAGACTTTTTTTATCCCATCCATCAGCCTTGACAGGTTATTAATTGGTACATCTGCTATCTGCCACGGTGTTTCAACTCAAGACTCCTGCAGTAAGCAGGCAGTGTAAAATGGCAGACAGTCAAGCAGGAGGACAAAGTATTCCTGAGCAAAAAGTATGTATTTAAACCTTGTATGATCTACCCATCTTTGCTCTTTTAGTGATCTCTTAGTCATGATCTTTAACATCTACCAGCCAGCTATTTTCTGAATTTAAGAAATGTCACAATAAAGACAGGCTTAGTAATATGTGTCCTCTATTACACACAATACACATGTGCACACACACCCTTGCCCCTTCTTTAAGACCTGTGTGGAGGAGATTAAAGGTCTTGAAAACAGATTTAAGATTAGTGCCTTGGTGATCATGATTCACAGAGGGAAGCAGGTGGGCACAAAGTTCAGTAACAGAATAGGTGCTTTGGACTGAGATGTACTCAGAGCCTCAAGTAAAAACCCTAAGTACAGTGATGAAAAAGTCTTCTCCATGAAATCCTGAAGAGCCAGATAGACATTGCTATGCTAGACAGAGCATTGATCTGCTGTATTAAAGCATTATCATGGTTTCCCGCAGTTCTGAATGGTGAATTAAATAAGGGAGACAAAATGTACTGTAGCAGAGGACAGAACTGAAAATGATGAACTACCATATTTTTCTGTGTATAAGACATTGCTTTTTCCTAAAATCATTACACTAAAAATTGAGGGGGTGTTAGACACAAAAGTAAGCAGAGAACACGGAGGGAACAAAGTGGCCTGTACCGTGCCTCTGTAAACAGGCTTCCTTCAATCACAAGGCTTAGCTTCCTCCAGTCAGGAGACTTGGCTTCCTCCAGTCAGGAGACTTGGCTTCCTCCAGTCACGAGCCGTATGGAACTGATGTCAGCTGATGCTGAACAAACCAATTGGAACACTCCTCATTGGAGGTGGAACCTGTAGGCTCAGATTCAACAGGGACTCCTAATGACCGAGTGTTCTGAGCCCAGAGGCTGAATACTTAAAGCTAAGTTTTCTTAATTTGGGGGTTAAAAGGGGGTGTGTCTTATAAACAGAAAAATACAGTAATCGTCAAATGGCACCATGTGGTCAAAGTTCATGGCATAGTAGGAAACCAATGGCAATTCTTACTGCCAAAATAACAAACAGTGGGCAAACTGGAAACGAGATACAAGGTGGAACAGAGAAGGATACCCCTTTTCCATCACTGAAGAGTTAAATGCACAAACACCATTAAATCAAAGACATTTCATGCTATGCTGCAAGTCTTGTTAGGCCAAGGAGAAGACAGAGAGTATTTTGCGTTCATTGGAACTCTACTATAAAGCTTCAAAACATCTTGAAATGATTTGGGACAATGATATCATGTGTTTGGATAAGAGCTCCAAAGTATTTCCCATGTCCTTTAAGTGTGCTTTCCTTTGAAAGATGCTGTAGTACAGATATCTAAATGCTGCTGCTATTTTGCATATTTTTTCCTTCCTTGATCTAGTTTCTTTGAGTAGACTTATGACTTCGGATCTCCTTTTTGTGAACAATAAAGGCAGAAAATATTCTCAAAGCTTTGTGCAAAAGCAATTTAAATATATTTACTGAGTTGTATAAATCCAAAAGTTCTGAAAACATCTCACAAATCTGTTCTTTTTGTAATTTTAAGAAAAAGTCTTGTGGCATTTCCTCAACTTGTGTGAGCAAGTATGTGAAAGTCATTTCCACCTAGATAGCATTTCTAATGGGGCTGGGGAGGGGAAGCCCCTCACTTCTCAAACCCTGCCACCTTCCAGCTCCATTCAGTCCCAAAGTAGCTCTACTCTGGAGTTTTAACCAGAAATAACTTCTTGCACTGAAACCAAGTGGAGGGAATTTAGTTACGTCACCTGTATGGTAGATCTAGTGAAGGAGCTAGATTTAAAGGTGGGAATAAGCTTTTGTTTCAGCAGATCCAGGGTTGCACTTTCTGCACACACAAATGCATCCAGCAGAACAATGCCTTTTTTGCTCCTACTGCCAGCAAAGGTACCATGTTTCCAGAGTATTTCCAAGCCAAGGCATAGAAAAGTTGTTGTTCCCAGATTCTGTATCCCACAGTCCCTAGTCAGCATGGTCATTGGCCACGTGCTATGCTGGCCAGGGTTTCTGAGAGGTGTAATCCACAAAAACAGCTTTCCCCAGTTGTACATGAAAACTGTGGCCCTCCAGGATGCATGTAACATCATGTCAATGGAGTTTCCCTGTGCTGGCCGACCAGCACTTCCACCTCATGCTCAGTCCCCAGTCCTAAGCTTCCAGCAAGGGAAGCTCTATCAGTTTACAGTGCCATCATTTCAGCATTCTTGTGGAAATTCTGTATGAACGTACAAAGGAGGAATTGCCACTGAACTTACAGTGGTGCCCTGCAAGACGAACGCCTCGCGGCATGAAAAACCTGCTAGATGAATGAGTCTGGCTAGGGTTTTGGTTCCTTGCAAGACAAATGTTCCTATGGCCCTGCTTCACAAGACAAAGCAGGGCCCACTTTGCTGTGGGGGGACACCCCCCACCCAGTGCTGCTTTCAGAGGTCCCCCTTTCACAGGTCTCCTGCCAGTCTTACCAGCAGCATCGGAGCCCAGACCCAGCAGGGAAGCGGCAGCCATTTTGTTCTCTTCTCCACTCTCTCCCCGCCTCACAGCTGATCGGCGCTGGGTCTTAGAGGCTTCCCCAGGCTTGCCCAGCACTGTAAAAGAGCTGGAAATAAAAAAAATTGTGCTTTCCCCCTGCCCCCGGGTAAGCCTCTGAAAGCCGTGGAGGGGCCGTGGGGGAGCTATTTCCAGCTCTTTTTCGGTGCTGGGCAAGCCCAGGTAAAGCTTCTAAGACCCTGTGCCAATCAGCTGTGAGGTGGGGAGGGAGCAGAGAAGAGCACAAAATGGCTGCCGGCTCACTGCTGGGTGCTGGCTCTGAGCTGTTTGGTGCTCTTTTTCCTGCTTTTCGGGGCTACCAAGGCACTGTGAGGAGCCAGGCTCAGTCTACAGTACCTGGTGACTTTATTTTAATTTTGTTTTGGACTTTTCCCCCCATAGGAACGCATTACAATAATTAAATTTCAACGCATTCCTATGGGAAACCGTGCCTCGCAAGACGAACTTTTTGCTAGACGGCATTAACCATGGAGTGGATAATTTTTTGTCTTGCGAGGCACCACTGTAGTTGGTCCTGTTTCTCACTCTGAGTAAGTAGATATGTGAAGGACTGTACTGCCAGCGGGCTGACTCAGCTTGACCAAAACAATGAGAAGGAAGGGATTCTCTGGCACTTTGTGAGAGGATATTTGAACATTTAGCAAGAAGGAAGCTCTCGGGGGAAGATCTGTCAGGTATCCTGGCAAGTGACAGTAAAAAAATGTTTTGGATATGACCTTTTCTCCCCTATGGTTTGTAAATGGGTTAAGTCAAATATAGGAAAGGGGGGGAAAGTAAGTGGCAGAGAAAAGTGTAACTCTCCATTTTGTAAAGTATTTGCTTATGATTATTTAAACATTTGGGAGAGTGGAATTGTGAGATAAAGTTAATTCTAATCCCCTCTTATTTATTTATTTATTTATTTTTGCCCTCCTCTCTCCTGGATTTCCCCCCCCCAGAAGAGCCACATGCCTGAAGGACAGTTTGTGTTTTGTGTGTGTGTCTCTCTGCCCGCCCATCTGGTCTGGTCGACCACTTTTAGTAGTGTTCTCTTCTCCTGGCTTTATTTGTGTAGTTATTAATAAATGTTAGTTATTATTACTTACCTTCCTATCCCACTTTTCCTCCAGTGAGCTCAAGGTGGCACACATGGCTGCCTTATTCCTACTTTAACTTCACCACAACCCTATGAGGTAGTCCGATCTCAGAGAGGATGGTTGGCCCAAGGTCACTCAGTGATTTTCATGGTTCAACAGGGGACTTGAACCTAGAACTTCCAAGTTCCAGTTCAGTACTCTTAAGGATGCACTAGACTGGCTGATAAATTCTAAATCCTGAAATGGTAGATGGAATGTCTTGTTTTAAAGCAACCTGGGAAGTCATAATTTTAAAAGTTCCATATATAAGTATTGAAAATTTATTTCACCATACACACAAACTGCAAATGGCTGGGATGAGTGAAAATATTTATTATTCTTTTTTTTACTTTTAGGGGAAATGGATTGGTGGGTATAGGGCACTCAAAGGAGGAAAATGCCTCTAGGAAAATGTCATTTTGGAGTGCCCCATACTCCATGGACAGTCTCCTCTGCCATCTAAGAAATCTACACTTTATTTAGTTACCTTCATAGAGAAAGCCAGTGTCAATGAAGGTCTGGCTTTCTCTCTATAGCCTTCTCTCTCTATCCATTTAACTTCATGAATTCATGGCAGAGTTGAGGCTGGTAACAAAGATTTATCTCCTGAAAAACAACACCAATATTGCAGAAGGCATAACTTTGCCAGGCTGGCTAGCTCTGTATTTGAAATCAGTCATGCTTACAAGTGTTTTAAGTGAAAAATCATGTGAAAAATTATGTGGGTGCTTTGCACAAGACTCAGCTATATCTGCTGCCGTTTTAATGGCATCAAATATACTTCTAATGGGTCCAAAGCAAAGAGTAAATACCTATATAAGCACCTGACCATTCCAAAACCTCTTTCCGGATCACCTTATGAAATCATTTCATCTATTTTATATAAGTCACAGCAAGCAGAGGTTAAGGAAACGAGCAAAGAGGTATGGATCTTATCCCAGTTTGCCATTACATCTAGATTGGTTTGGTGTGTGGGATAGCACTAAAATATTCATTAGAAACAAATTAAGATTTCTTTCCTCCTGAGGAGAGGGAGGTTAGTAAATATAACTGAAAGCATGAATCATATTATCGATGAAAAGAGCATTCAGCTGTTTGATAAGCTTGTCTGCCTAACTGAACTACATAATTTCTTACTGAAATGATGGAGAATTTTTTTTAAAAAAAAGATACATAGAAAATGCACTTCAGCAGTAAAGAAGGGAGACAGTACTGGATAGTGACATGTGTGAATGCATTTAGCAGGATCTTCTTTTTTTCAGATTTGTGTATTTCTTTGGCTTTCTGTATTGCAAAAATAACACTTGATATGTGCTATAATGGCATGACTTTTTTAGCTGAGCCAATAAAAAATGTCAAGTTCTGTAGCAAAATATGGCTTTCCCGTCAATTTGAACCCAGTAAATCCCTTCTCTTGCCTATGACTTACAACAACAGAACTGATTTTTTTTAAGAAGGAGTATTTACACATGAAAATTAAAAGACAAAACAAAAGAGTAGAGCCAGAAATTGAGTACTTTTTGGTAAGTGCTTGCAAGCATGACTGATTTCAGCAAGAAAAAGATTAATAGGATTAATAGGATAGACTGGTGAAATACATTATTGGAAATTTTGAAAAGCATTTAAAACTACACTAAATGCATTCCTCTCTCCCCCTCCCTTTTGCAGTACAATCGTTACCAACGCTATGGCACTGAAGAGTACGTTTTGCAAATGGGTGGTGTCCTGTGTCCCACCCCAGGATGTGGTGCTGGCCTGCTTCCTGAGCCAGAAGTGAGAAGAATAGTCTGTGAGCCAAGCAATGGACTGGGCTGTGGGGTAAGACAATTGTCCCTTTCAGACAGTTCCATGGGGAATCAGGGAGAGATGTTAGTGCAATGGTAAGATACTGTATGTGCTTTGCATGTAAAATTCCCAAGCTCAGTGGGTGGCATGGCAAGGCTAGGTGAATTTTTTACTGAACATCTTGGAGAAGAGTTGCCAATCATAACTGACAATATTGAGATAGTTGGAACAATGGTTGTGAGTCAGTATATAATGCAGCATTTCATGTTCCTAAGGTGGATAAAAATGGGAGGGGCCAGAATCACTGAAGTTCTCTATCTCATTGGTGACTCTGATCTGCTCTTTGTACCAATATACAACAATGAATCCTAATAAACTATTTTAATGCAGAGTTGCTGCTCTGCAAGAACGGCCAGTTTGTCATGTAGAGCAAGCCTGTCCCAGAATGCTTTGCTTTAATTGGTTTGTGAAGTTGCTGATCTCAGTGGTTACCCTGAAGAGTGGGGTGTGTGAAAATGAGAAGCCAAGAGCTCTGACTCTTTTATAAACTCCCAACCGTCAGCAAATTGGTAAAGGTTCTAAAGCTAAAGGATTTGTTACTTTATCAGCAGCATTCTCTTTAAATGGGTTTGATGACAGAGAGAGGGTGGGAGGAAACTAAATGAGTAAAAGGACACTGGGTGTTTTCAGTAAATCAATGAAGATGGATGGAGATGATGCAAATGAATTGAATGGAAGCTGCTTTTGAATAAGTAAGTTTGGAAAAGAACTGGAATGTATCCATCACACCTCAGCTTCCTCCCGTGTTTCATCACAAAGCATAATGACCAAAATCCTTTTGCTAAGCATTGCAAATTTCACTAGAGTAGGCCCACTATATCTGTAGAGATTTATTGAGTCAACCCCTCCATAAGTTCCATTGATTCAAAAAATCCTACTCTGACTGCAACTTTCTGTGCTCAAGTATGTTGCAGTTAGAGTATGCCCATTTAAATTAATGAAACCCATGGAAGAGTTGAAACACCAAATTACTATTGATTTAATAAGCCAACTCTAGTGTAATTTAGCATGTTAAGCAATAGAATTTTGGCCACTATCTGTCAATAACACCCTGCATTCATCAAATAAGAAAAGTTAGCACGTAGAAAGGTCTGTTTGGCTGCTTCATGGCTTTGGAGTTGAGGATTTTCCAAAACATTTGTGCGAATCTGTGCGTTTAGGAAAGGTCAGTCCTACCATTAGGCAGATGAAGCATCAGGCAGAAGGTTTTATTGTTGTTATGTGCCATCAGTTCACTTCTGACTTAACAGCAATCTTATGAATTAATGACCTCCAAAATGCCCTCTCATTAACAACCCTACTCAGCTCAGCAGCAAATGTTTCATCATTTAATTTGTTATTTTTACTGCCAGGGAGGGGGAAAGGTGCTTCAGGGCTCTTTTGGATTACGTGCTGAAATAACTTGACTGGTTTTTGCCACTACGTATCTTTATATTAACGGATGGTTTGGATGATGAAAAGATATTATTACTGTATTTGCTAGCGTATAAGATTAGTTTTTTGCCCTGAAAAATATGCCTCAAAGTGGGGGGGTCGTCTTATACACCGGGTGCACTTCAGTTGGGATAGACATAGCTGCCCATAGTGGCCTTCCAATGCTCCCCCGGTGCCCATAGTAGCCTCCCGATGCCTGCCCACCTCATTCTACATACCGTCCAGTATTGCGTGGTATCCAGTGCGGCCGCGACGAGCATCAGCAGCGAGACAGGGGTGCCAACCTTTCCGACGTGACCGGCCTGTTCTGCTCGGCGGGAAGCAGCGGCGCTCCAGCCCGCCCCTTGTCTACGCAGAGCTCACACATGCGCACTTGCACACTAGTGCTGGTCACAGGGAGATGCAGGGGCGGGCCAGAGGTAATGTGGTCGCGCTGCAGCCGTACAATGGTGACAATGAATAGCACCTTTTATTTGGTGTGTGGAAGGTGTGCGGAAGAGGGGGTAGTCTTATATGGCGAGTATATAACAAACTCTATATTTTGAGTTGAAATGTTGGGGGGTCGTCTTATACGCCCAGTCGTCTTATACGCTGACAAATACGGTAAGCATCATTACTAGTATCAGTTTTGTTATACATAAATTTCATGTCATCCTGCACATATTTGTGTCCTCTACAGTGGCCATTCTCAACCTTTTTTTTCTTTTCTGCCAGGGCCCTTTTAGGACCTCGTCTCAGGTTCCAAGGGCCCCCATCAAACAAAGATACAACATGAAGAGATCACTTTCAGAAACTTCTCACATTTTTCAGTCTGTGGCTCCTGTCAAATGTGCCAATGGCAACTCTACAGAATAGGAGAGAAGTATTAAAAATAAATGTATAAGTAAGGATCCCCCCTCCAAGTAACACAAGTGACTCTGTGTAGTGGTGCCATTCCCAAGGTTGCTAAGCTGTTGGGGATCCCCCCTCCAAGTAACACAAGTGATTCTGTGTAGGGGTGCCATTCCCAAGGTTGCTAAGCTGTTGGCTTAATCTACAGTAGCAGGGCAAACCCTCCTGGATGACATCACACCTGCTTCTGAGGGACGTGACTACCCATTCTTCTTCTTTCTCATAGGTGATAGAGAGCTTGCTTAAGGGCCTCTTCCTAGGCCTATCATAATGGCATTATGTAACCATTGTCCTATCTGAACTCTGTCAACTATCTGTGAGCTTGTAAGGTTAATAAAAGCACAGTCCTCCTGGAGGCAGGGCAGGATTCATTCAGTATGATTCTACCTCTTCTACTAGTCGCCCATCAGGAGCACTGCTGGCAGACATCCCTATGTGTGGCTGACTTCTTTAACTTCTATCTCTAAGAGACTATTTGCTATCCTAATTACTTGTGATCACAAAGCCCATCAGCCTTCTCATTTCGTGGCTCTAACAACTCTGTTATACCTTTTGAACTAAAAAACCCCTCAAACCATATATGTCAGTTTCCTCAGATAAATTTTCCTGAAACATTGGAAACTAAAATGAAATATGTTTATTTAAGCAGTTATAGTGTACATACAGTGGTTAACCAGTACTGACGTTAATTGCTAAGTATTTTAGATACAGTGTCTACCTTTCATTTTGTCAAGGCTGATTCCCCATCCTACTTTCTGAAGGCAGTTGATGAGGATCCACCAACGACATGCAATGTTGCCTTTTGGTTTCTGTTTCCCTGAAATAGTGATACACTCGGGCTTGGATTGGCCATTGCCATAACAGCAAACATAAAACAATCCCTTTAGAACTCAGAGAGAGAAACACTCAGGGTACTCCCTCTTGTAAAGTTCCTCCAAAAATCTACCATATGGCCATCTTTCCAAAGCAAGAGATCAGATATCTCAACTGTTGAATTCCCTGTAATCCTAGAAGTGAGTTTCCTTACTATTTAATCCTGCAATTTTAAGTATGTGAACAAACAACTTTTCATTCCCCTTGAATACTCTCATCCTTACTATTGTAAAAAAGAAGAAAAAGAAGAAAAGAAGAAAAGAAGAAAAGAAAAACAACATTTGTGAATGTATTGCTAAATGCTAGACACTGCGAAAATAAATTTATTTTAATGTGAGCTTTTATGGGAACAATCCAATTTTTCAGACTTCTTATTTTCTGAAGAAGAGGGGCATAGCCATGAAAGTGTACTCTAAAATAAATGTGTCAGCCTCAAAGCTGCCATAGTATTTTTGCCAATATGTCTTTTAAGAAATTAGAATCATTCTCATCACTCTAAAAATGGGGGAAAGTAACCGAAGGTTCTTTATGGCCTCTGTGAATCACATTGTGGGTGATCCACACCTGCGCAGAGCCCCTTCAAAATATTCTAGAACTTCTGCAGTAGCGAAAAACACATTAGAATAGACCCCCCCCCTTGGTATAAGTATCTTGGTGCCAGGACTCTCCCTTTAGTTTCTTTCAACGGGCGCATTGAAGAGCCTCTTTCGTCTATCTTCTGTGAGTCTGAAAGCGAAACAAGTCAATTTTTGACAACTGAACTTAAAAATCTTTTTCTCTTAATAATCAAAGTTACATATACCATTTTTATTTTTTTCTCTTCCATGCCTCGACCTCCAACTGTCGCACCCCCCATACCTCCCTCCCTCCAATTTTTCTTCTCTTTATTCTTCATGCCCCCTTTGGGCCCATTCAAGCACTGTGTGATTTGCGATAACATGTGCCTTTTTTGTTTAGGTGAGGCGCATCAAACCTCCTTGTGCCCTCATTGTAAAAATTTCAAATGAGGAGTCATCTGTTCCCGCCTATCACAACTCAAACTCTGACTCTGGGAACAGTCTTCGCAACTGGCAAAACCTATGACTCAATCTGTGTGTAAAACACCTCACAAGCCAAAGCCATGGAAAGAGCCACTGCATTGCAGAATAATCGAAACATCATTTCTCCGCTACTCCATCTCACTCTGATGCACCTTCCACTTCACCAAAAATTTCTAAAACACACAAGTCTAAACAGCCGACATCGAAAACTTCAACATCAAAGCCTTCTGAATAGCCTCCTTCCGATCCAG